AATAGATTTAATAAACACCTACCATTTACAGTCAGAGTTGCAGTCGTTTCTACGTTTCCACAGATGCACGTGTAGATGTCGCTGTCGTCAGGCGTCACATCGAAGATCCTCAGTTCAATCAGCATGTCTCTCTGCCGTATATGATATTTCCCTCCGTTCCTGATGAGATCATTCCCCCTCTTCCTCCACTCCACAGTATGACCAGGCTTCGACAGCTCACAGCGGAAAGTCGCGGTGTTGCCTTCCTCGATCAGCACATTCCTCAGCTTCTGCTTGAATGTCACTGGGAGAGCTGCGGAATCGTAGATAACCATAGATTTAGATCAATAATTGTTAATTATTTTACACTTTTATTTCTCAGCCTTTTGTAAAATTAGGTCATACCAGTGATTTTGACAGTGGCAGATGTCATCTGATCAGAACACACACAGCTGTAGACACCACTGTCCTCAGGCACAGGCTTCCAGATCAGAAGCTCCAGTGTGGTCTCCCTCCTCCTGATCTGGAACTTGATCCCGTTCTTTAACAGGTCATCTTCTTTCCTCCATTCAAATGTAATTACAGGTTTGGACAGCTCACAGCGCAATGTCACATTGTTGCCCTCCTCTGCCTGCATGTTCCTCAGTTGTTGTATGAATGAAATAGGAATAGCTGGAAAGCAAATGGTGTCATGACACACATTTTTAACTTCTCCAAGGAGTCAAATAAAATGAAATTGAGTAGGATTGTGATAGTGGGTTGCATGGTTCTTACTGTGCACTTTGACACTCGCTGTTGTACGGTGATCTCTGCACTGACAGGTATATTCTCCTGAGTCCTCAGGCTTCAGGGCTTTGATGGTTAGAGAGTTGATCGTCCTTCTCTGTTTCATCGCGTACTTGTCTCCATGCCTGATGCTCTCAAAGCCTTTCCTCCAGAGGACCTGAACCCCAGGCAAAGAGTACTCACAGGTCAGGGTCACAGTCTCTCCTTCGTTGGCCTCAACAGTTTTCAGGGTCTTGGTGAACTCTGCAGGAATGGCTACAACAGACAACAGGCAGGTGATACCACTTCTCATTATATTGGAATTGGCTGTTAATAATGAAAGCCTTTTATCTACGGTCCTTGTAGAATTCTATTCATACCTTTGACAGTTACAACAGCTCTAGTTGTAACAGATCCTGCACTGCACTCGTACACCCCAGCATCATTGTTGCAGATCTCTCGAAACGTCAATCGAGCCTCGCAGCCCGAGCGACTGGTAGAATATCTGGAGGAGCTCCACATCAGGCAGCCATCTTTGTACCAGAGGATGTGGCATTGCTTTGAGGTCACGCAGGACAAAACCAAACCACCTCCTTCAATAGCCTCACAGTCCTCCAGTGCTTTAATGATGGTGGGACGCCTCTCTGGGGGCACAAAGAGATGAAACCAAGTCAAGACCAAATGGACTGTGACATAAAAGCACATATTAAACCTCCATTCACACTGAGCCTCACCTCTAACCAGCAGCGAGGCGTACGATCTTTTGTCCCCTGCCGAGAAGGAAATAGTGCCGGTGTCTTTACGGGCAAGCTGTTTAAATGTGAGCGTGTTGTAGCCTCCGGGCACCATCTGAATCTCATTGAGCTCATTGGTGTACAGCAGAGTCTCATCCAGGTACCATTTAACCCCAATGTAATCGCTGGGACAGATTCGACATCTGAATGTGACTGTGTCCCCTTCTAGACACTCAACGTCCTCTAGTTCATCCAGAATCAAAACCTTCTGGCCTGAGTGAAACAGAGGACAAAGTAATGTCACGTTTTGTACATATTACGTATTAATAGAATAATAGAGGCCGTGGAATTTATTCATTATGTTCCATGGTCTCACCCTGCACGGTCAGCTGTGCCCGACTCTGCATGGTACCGACATCACACGTGTAAATATCTGTGTCCGATTTGTCCAGACAGGAGACGGTCAGAGACAGCACCACGTCTTTCTGCCTGATGACATACTTCCTTCCAGACCTTAGCTCCACCATTCCCTTCAACCAGGTTGCACGCTTGGCTGGCTGCCTGGTCTCACACTCCAGGGTCACTTTACCTTTTTCCTCTGCCCGTGTGTCCTTCAGCTCCCTTGCAAATGTGTGCTGGAGTTCTGTGAGGCACAGTGAAGTTCAGAAAATTAAGTCAACCTTCGCATGTAGTACCATGGTCACCAACCTACATTGCAAAATGGGACATTGGATAGTAACACTGATTTGCAGAACACTAAAATAACAAACACCACACAGTTATTTTGAATACTCTCACCTACCTCTAACCTCCAGCTTGGCACGGGAGGCAATGCCCTCAGCCTCACAGCGGTATTCTCCAGAGTCCCTGATGGTGGTGTTCCTGATCACCAGCCGCGCCAAGTTCTTCTCCACACTCATCTCATACTTTGGGCTCTGTCTGATTAGATGACCATTTTTCAGCCAACGGATGGTGACCTCTGGTTTGGTGATTTCACAGCTCAGCTCTGCGTCCTCACCTGGCACCGCCTTCACATTCAGCAGGTCCCTGAAAATGTGCACTGGTTTCTCTGAAGGAAGGTAAATGCAAACACTTACAAGCAGGATTTTTTAAATTTGTTTTTTAAACAAAATGAAGAGACAGGTATACTCACATACACAAACATATAAAACTGTTAATGATTTGATCTAAAACCGCCAGGTATTCACCTTTAACAAAAAGCATGGTCCTACAGCTGAGGTCTTTAATTGTAAAGACCACGTCTCCTGCGTCAGTGAGCATAGCATCTCTTATGGTCATCTCATACTTGTGGCCTTTGTTGATAACCTGGATACGGCTGTTAGGGACCACCACCTGTCCATTGATTGTCCAGGAAGGCTCATCGTCGAGATCGTGAGAGAGGAGACATTCAAAAGTGCACCTTTCACCCTCCAGGACAGAGGTTGTCTTCATACGATGAACAATGGTGATGTGCAAATCTGTAAATAAATGTAATAACACAGTAGCTTTAATAGAGTAAATCTATCTTAGAAGTGCAGTTTATATCAAACTGAACCATCTGCTTTCCCTGGTCCTCACCATGTACTGTAACTTTAGCCTTGGTCTGGCTGGTGCCCAAGTCACAGGTATATTGTCCAGCATCATCTTTGCTGAGTTGATGGATGATCAATGCCATGGACCTCCCAAACTGGAGTAGTTCGTGTTTATCATCAGCCGTCAGGACCATACCATCCTTTCTCCAAACAGGGGTCACTGTCTCTTTGGAAATCTCACATTGCAGACAGACCTCCCCTTGCTCTTCTCCTACTGCATCCTCCAGAGACCTCAAGAACACTGCTGGACGCTCTGGAGTCAAAGGGTAGCATTATATGATTAATGGGGCTCTAATATTTCAAAAAGAAAAACATCTGATCATGTACTTGGCTGACCTTTGACCTTTACGATTGTAGTCTCAGAAAGAAGGCCTGCTTTGAAGGTGACCCTGCTCTGCTGAGGCTGCAGCTTCTTCATTGTGAGACTATGCATTGTGCCCATGTTCTGGATCCTGTTGATGGCACTGGAATAGATCCGGACATTGTTGAGAAGCCACTCCACATTGGCAACAACGTAGTTGAGCTCACATGAGAAAGTGGCCACACCATCCTCCTCAATTTCCACTGGCTCAAGGTGTTTGACCAACTTGAGTGTTCGCACTACATCACAAAGATGATGAATTATATGAAGAACTGAACATACATTTGCAGTAGAACAAAAATCTGAAAATATTCCATTCTCTCCATCCATCCAACCGTCCATCATACCTTCTACTGTAACATGTGCTGTGCTCTGTGAACCTCCAGCCATGCAGCGATACTGCCCTGCATCCATTCCCGTCAAGCCATGGATGGTCAACTCTGCTCGTTTCCCATCCCTCTTCATGCTGTACTTGTTTGAGGTCTTCAGAGCAGTGCGACCTTTAAACCACCGCACCACCCTGGGAGAAGGAGCAAACTGACAGCTCAGAGTCACTGAGCTGTTCTCTTTCACCTTTGCATCGTCCAAGTGGTGAACAACCTGAAGAGGTCGCTCTACAAGGGAAAAAGAAAAGAGAAACGTTAACGTCCATTCACTCGATCCATATTTCTCATCAGGATCACACTGAAGATATGGTAGTGATAAGGTTGCCAGTCCCTTGGAGGTCTAAAACACTGAGTAGATACTTCTTAACTTAGTTATTAGAAGATTAGATATTCAATCTATAAACTGTTTCCCTTGAGCTTCATGCTCAGAGAGTCTGAGATACTCACCTTTCACAGTGAGCTGAGCAGTGGAGCGACTCTTGCCAGCGACAAAGACCACAGGGCCAGACATGGAGCTGTCCGTGGAGGTGAGACAGAGACTGTGGAGGGTGCCGTCCCTGTCGATGTTCACCGCTGCACACGGCTCCAGTACCTCACCGTTCAGGGTCCATCGTGGAGGCCTCCCTGACTTCAGGCTGGTCTCTGCCTGGAACAGTGCTGGCTTCGGCTCCATCACCTCCACTGAGCTCATCCCCCGCACTATGCTGATAGCCTGCTCTGCATGCACAGCCATGATACACATTACACACTACCAAAGCAATTTCTTACATTACAATAATAAGAAACACATGCACACCAAAATATTATTATTTTGAATTATTTTTCTTTTTCTCTTTCACAATGCTTACTGTATCTATGTACCTATGATACAATAAGCATTGGGAAAGTGTTGCTACAAGAATTCAAAACATAAACCTGGCCATAAAGTTAAAGCTGTGACTGCTATGGTTACTGTGACAACAATCATCTCACCCTCCACCAGAAGCTGACATGAGGTTGTATCATCTCCTGCATCACAGGTGTAAGTGTCCTCATCTGAGGAGCAGACGTCATCGATGGTCAGCTGTCTGTAGACATCTTGGCTGATCAGTTGGTACTTCTTACTGGACAGGAGCTCCTTCCTGTTCTTGTACCATCTGACCTGAGCATTAGGTCGTGACACCTGACACTCCAGCAGACCCCGGTGGCGATACATGGCAATCTTCACCCTCAGAGGGCGCACTATTTGGACCGGGAGTTCTGAGGAAGCGAAGAACAGGCTGTAAACCCAAAGTGACTGAAAAGTGTTGGACACTATTTCCTTTATACTTTATGTGGTGACTTTAACAGTCTGGTGTTTCACCTTTAACTGTGAGAGTTGCATAGGATGACACACGCTCAGCAGTGAATCTGATCTCTCCAGCGTGCTCTGGCCTGACTGACTCAAAGCACAGGGTGTGAGTTTTACCTGCACACAGATCGAAGCAAAATGTTGTTTTTATTTATATATTTACACCTGGGATCTGCCATTACAACCGAAGTTACAAGTCAAATGCAACCTCTTTATAGTTCCTATAAAGCTGATATGGTTGGTCACTTGCCCTGGTGTCTGATCCTGATGTTGTCCCCAGATCGGATCCTGCAGTCATTTCGGTGCCAACGACCATCCACATCCACCTGATTGACCTCACACATGAAGTTCACGGGTTGACGCTCAGTTGTTTCAACATCTTCCAGCTCCTTCACTATGTGGATGTCCCTAGCTGGCAAAAAAAATCCAAATCATGACTAGCAACTCAAACAAGATGTGTTTCTGCATCTGCTTGTCATATCTCTCTCCAGTTATAATCATGGATTGGATTTGGATTTATATCTTTGTTTACACTTTGGGTTCTTTATATCCTGTTTCACTTTGGAACTGTGTTCTTTTGTGTCTCTCTCACTTTACTTCATGTCTGCTTTGCTGCCTTTTCTGATTACTTGCCCCACCCTTATTAGTTTCACTTATGTCTTGTAATTTAGTCTTGAAATTTTTCCTCATTGTTAGTGTTACAATGTGATTTGTGTTATATAGTGTTTGCTTTAACCAACTTTTGTTTCTTGACTGTGCCTTCAGCCTGAGGACTTCAGCCCATGTATCCAAACCCCTAAGTATGATTAAAGACTTTTCTAGAACTCCCATGTGGCATCTCCATTTGGGTCCTCACCTGTTTTCTAGACATGACAATAATGACTTTTGTTTGTTCATTTATAAAGGTGATAAAACTCCAATGTCCAATACTACTCAAAGTGTTAAAAATGTCAACCTGCTGCTGGGGCTTGAGGAAGTATGATCAGACATACAATAAGGCTTTCCCATCATTTCAATTGTGTCATAGACACATCTTTGCGTTGACCTGGACTTGACCCTCTCAGATGAGGGACAGAGCTAAATACAATGGACATGGGCATAGTTCAGTCTGTTGAGTTATCTCACCTCTGACACTGAGTCGGCCTGAGGTCTGAATGTCATTAGCCTGGAAAGAGAACAGGCCTGCATCTCCCAAAGCCGCCCTGTTCAGTATGAGGGAGTGTCTCTTCCCATGCGTGCTGATGCGACAGTTGGGCCTAGACTTGAGTTGCATCCCATCCCTGCTCCACACGCCCTTGATGTAAGCCAGGTTGAGTGTCACCTCAAAGGAGCAACTCTCACACTCAGACACCTCCACATCCTCCAAACCCTTCACCACCTGCAGCCGGTTCTCTGACACACACACACACACACAAACACACACACACACACACACATTAGAGATCAAAAGGCTCACATTGCAAGACAAGAACAAGAACATGAATAAGAGCATGAGAAGAGAACTTACTTGCAGCTGCGACTATTCCTCCAGGTATGTTGTCTGCCATGTCTCCTGTGCTTCTCTGTGTGATCATGGAATCTTTACAAATACACATCAGGTAATGTCTCTGTCTGCTCATTCACACTTTCTGACACTCAGAATGTACATGAGCACATGACCTGTTGCAGTGTTAACCCTGTCACACAAATTCATCTCAAGCTAATGACTTAACTTTCACATATAAAGCGCCAGCGTTAGCCTATCAAAATGGATATGCATGGCAACGCTCTCGTATGGTTGATCCCTGTGATGGCATACCAGTCCTTCACTGTCATAACGAGGAGAGTAATCTCTGTCACTTCACTTGACTGAGCTCAGCACCACCAATATAGACTCAGCTGTGAGGCCACCTTTATCAGGCTGAAGGGTCCTTCTTTCTAATTAACCACCAGCTAAAAATCACATTTCATAGTGCGTCACAGAGTCACACTTAATTTGCTAACAATTATCTTAATTACTTTTTGAGGGCTATTATGTTACGATGTCTAATGAAATCCAAATTCCCATGAGTCACTGACTTAACTAAATACAAACTTCCAATCATACATTCAATCAATAGTGAATAGTTTGATTATATTAAAATATGCAAACAAAGCAATGACAATTGCATAAAGAATTAAAATAAAAGAACAAATAAGATGCCTTAAAGTTATATACCCACCTTCATCTAAACAAATGTTTTCTAGAGAGAAAGTATCCTTGCATGTCGTCTTGTTGCACCAGTAATGACACCTTCACCTGAAAAAACAGCTGGATAAAACATCCATGGCAACAGATCTGTCCCGGTCTTGACTTGTTTCTCACAAAGCCTTTAAGATAATAAGATTAACAACAATCGTTTATCCAAGGGAGAACATACCTATGTCTGTGAACTGCATCTCAGTCCCCAGAGCAGACAGCCTGTAGCTCTCTCTCTCTCTCTCCCTCCTTTTTTTTTGTTTTTTTTGCTGTGATGGAGCGTAGTGCTGAACAGCTGACATATCTCTTCTCACATACTAACCTCCAAAATAGCCTTCTGTCAGTATGAGGGCAAAGATAGCTTTGGCTTTAATTGTGTGAGGCAACTCAAGACCAGCATCAATGAAAGCACCAAAAACAATCAAATGTGCACCATGGGCTGAGTGTGTTTGATGGTTTTCTTGTGTGTATGATGAATGTGTAACTGTTCTGCAAAATGTGTCATGTCTATTCAGTTATCTGTTGTTTTACACACAATGAAACAATCTTGTTATACCTCTATGCTGTCAAAAGCCAGTGGCAGGCATTCTGTTTTCGGGTTGCCCCTCCATCTGCCCATTCATCCCATTCTTATGAACATGATATCTCAAGAATGCCTTGAGAAAACCCCTTCAAATTTGACACAAACATGGACCCATGGATGAATTGAATCGAATTTGGTGGTCAAAGATCAAAAACCAAAGTCACTGTGAAATTACAAAACATGTTTTTTAGTCTTTTGAATGCAACATCTCAAGAACACTTTAAGGTCATTTCTTCAGATTTGGTACAAATGTTTATTTTGGCTGAGAGAAGAACTGATTAGATTAGACAAATTCTGCCAATAGATCCCTTTCATCTGAATCTTACACACTGCACCTTCAAGGAAACGTCTTGAAATTTGAGCAATTATACAACTGCAGGGTGATTATACTGGGTTGCTCAAGATCTAAAATGTGTTTGTCCATAGATAGGAGTAGCAAAGTCTACCCAGTATCTGAATGATGCAGTTTAATCACGGAGCCTTCTACGAAGCATTTTCATCAGTGTCCTAATCCTCAGGTTAAAGTGATCAAAGTCTGTGGATCTCCACAGGGACTTTCCAGCACTGCTTATTTTGAAAGGTCATAAAAGTGAAAGAGACATACAAATACCTATAAAATATAAAGTAACACAGTGGATGAAGATCTTTAGTGTTCAAACGTGTTCAGACTGAAAAACACATCAGCAGCTCTCCACTGCAAATCCAAAAGTCTGTTTTAACTACAGAGCGGGTTAATGCAAATCAACCATCCTCTACAACTCCCTTCTTGAGTTACAATTACGACATTGGTAATTTATAGGGTGTTTGAGTTTGTGGGGTTCCCTCACCAAGCCATCCAAACAGAACAAAGCCAGTGCTGCCCAGCATTGTGCTCCCCTCAGTTTGACAGACAGCTGCATGTGCCAGAGAGCCATTCTAAGTCCAGTGAAACTCTACCGACAGGATAATCTGTGTGCAGTCCTGCTGGGGCTCACAAAACAACTTGTCGTCACTGAGAGGGGTTATAGTGACCCACAGAAACAAACCAGGTTTGCTCCTTATGCCAGCAGGCCATTCAATACAATATACATTTTCTTTGACATTTGAGTGGAATGAAAGAAACAGCCAGTTTGGGCACACTTTCTGGTTGTATATTCATTTTGTATTATATTTGATAAAACTGTGTGGTGTTTTAAACAGGGGTGTTTTGTTGCTTGAATAATGAAAAAGAAAAGTTTTTAAATCACGTCCTGGGAGATTGAAGATGACTCTAAGATCAACCTGACATCTTGAAATGTGGACCTTCACGTGTGCAGCATCCTATTGATGGTGCACATGACCTAAAAATAGAGTCATGTTAAAGGAACCAAGGCAATGTGAGGATGTGTTGAGTGAATTTAGAACTCGACAAAACAGCTGAACAGTCCACCTAAGCCTCTGGATCTGTGTTTGGAAACACCCGCCCCCCCTGTCCTGTGTGTCACATTTCCTCTGGTCCAGACTCTCTACATCTGACAGCAGTCATAATGAAAGAATATAGGAAGGTTTACAACACATAGTCAAACATGCACCTACACTTGTCATCTACTAATAAGCCCAGACAGTGACCCGCAAAAAACACTCCATACATGTGTTTTGTGTGACACTTTTATGGTAGTGTGTTATTTCTGTCAACAACATCCCAAATGTAGTACTCTCAACAAAGTGTCAGAGCCAGGCAGCTGTATCCATACAGTAAAACAGATGCCCTTGACTGAAATCTAACGGACAATCATGGCATGTCTAATTAAAGCATGGCCTTGGTTCTGATAACTATAGCAATACAAGTCTGTCCAATATAGTTTCAAGCCACTGAATCTCTTTTCGATGATATTCATCAAGTCGAGTATTGAGAGTTGGATGTATGTGAGCGCATGTGACTATAACATTGAGAAAGATTTTTACCTCTGCCAAAGAGATTATGTTTTCACCCCTGTCCAGTTGTTTGTTGGTTTTATGTTAGTTAGTTAGTTAGTTAGTTAGTTAGTTAGTTAGTTGATGGGAGGATGGATCATGGAAGAACCCCAAATTTAGGTTTAGATTTGGATCAGTTCTCACAGTTTTCCAGGGAGTAATCTATAGATCTTCATTAAAAAAATTCAACATATTTGAAAGCATTTTAATTACTGATAAGAACACAAATGGAATGGCTTTGGTCACAAAATAAATGTTACTACCTTTTATTAGGAACTGAACAAAGGTTACAGTTGAGTAACTGTGAGACACAGAGAGAGAGAGAGGGAGAGAGAGAGAGAGAGAGAGAGAGAGAGAGAGAGAGAGAGAGCACATGAACGTGATTACAAAATTATTTCTTCACTTTCTTCTTCTTTGCATCTTTGTTTTTGCCCGGAGCTTTTTTGACTGGAGCTTCTTCTTCTTCCTTTCCAGTGGCAGCTTTAATCCTCTTCTTTCCCAGAGGGGTCTTTGCATACCAGTTCTGGGAGGATAAACAAGCATGTTGACATTAAAATAAATTGAAAAACAATCAGAGTAATAAAAAAAGTAATGTAAGAGATTGAATATGGCATATCCACTTTACTTTAAGGGCCTCTTCCTCTTCCTGAAACACAGGGTCGAGCTTGGCTAAAGGGGAAACAAACTCTGAAGCGATCAAGGGTCTTTTTGTCTGCTGCCGGACGCGACGCTCGGTGACAACGCTCTGGACCACCTGTACCATGTGACCTGGAGTGTAGCCATCAGAAATCTTTGCAAGAGAGCTGAGGTCCAATGCCTTGGTCACCTCACCCCCCTGCTTTGTGATCAGTTGTTTCCACAGGACTGAAGGCAAACAGAGTCAGAAAGGTCATTTTTCACAGCAACGTGGTAAAGAATACCACATATATAAATAAATATTTTTTTTTTTGTTTTCTGTCAACTCTTACTGTATCTAGAGCCATAGTCAGGTCTTGGGATGAGGAGGATTTTGCTGTACATTTTACACAGTGACTTAATGTCAGCACTTGAAGGGTCTCGAGTTGTTCCGATTATCAGAACACGATCTTCCCCTTTGATCAACTTAAGGAACTTGGGCAGATCTTTCTTCAACCGCTTAGGGTCTAACTGTTCACACACAAATAAAACAAATGTGAAATATAATGACACAACATAATGACAGCTCCCAGTGTTTATCCTGAGCAGGAGTACCTCTTTTTCTTCCTTGGGGACTTTCTTGTAGAACATTNAGTTATGAAGAGACATTGATGAAAAAGCTGATGTTTGGTGTGTATATGTCAGTGTAACTGCTGAGATCTCACAAATCCAATTCATTTTAATGTTTTTGTGAAAGATGAAACTCACAGGAATGAGCTTTAAGTCATGAAGGATGTCGTCCATGTAGTGGTACTCTGAAAACTCTTTTTCCACCATTTCATTCTTCAGCTCCAACAGCCTCCCCATCACACCATCAAGAATTGCCCGAATTAATCGTCTCTTCTGAGGGTGGACCACCTGGTCGTAGATCTCCTCGAGCTGTCTGAAGATTTGGAGGTAGCGCACATAAAACATGGCCACACGCTGGAAGAACACCACCCTGTCCTTTTCTGGACGAGGGGGCTCAGCAGGCAGCTCCTCCGCCAGCAGACGACTCAGCTCTACCTGGACATTGGTCCACATTTCATTGTATCTCCTAAAGAAATGGAAACAGTCTTTTTGTGAAATTGTTTTAAAAAGGCATCACATAGGATGGGTTGACACTGTTTCCAGTCTGTCTTAAAATGACAGTTGGGTGCCTAAATAAACACTGAAATATGTTTTGCCTGTTGTACTTATTCCTCCTGCTGTTGGGGGACAAAATCCAATTTTTATGTAAAAAAAAAGTATTTTATATAAAAAGCAGTCTGCTTTGGTCAAATCTTGTGAATATCTCCCAAAGTTATTCTTTGTGTGTACAGTGTAAAATCATCTCTTTGTGTTTCCACATTATTTTGCCCATCTGTGTGGCAATACCAATGTACCTGTACCGTAAGACCACGAATACACACGCATCAATTCTCAGAGTGCAGCTGGTGTGCCCGTGTTTTCACAAAGGACGGACCACATGACCTCAGCACCGTAAACAGCAGTCACCCTCAGTCACTGTGCCAGGACTGATTCAGAACCAGTTGTGTATATTTCATTGGAATATTGTGATGTGCTGCTGCCATGAGTCAGGTATGGAAAAACAGACTTTCATATATTTTATTCACTTTTGTTGCTCTCTGTCATGTTGTTGGATGTTAACCTCCGTTAAACCCCTACAGTACATTAACGTTTCACGACAGTAGTGTTTAGTAAAGACTAAGTAGTATATTTAACAAATTAGCCCATACATGTCCGTTTCACACTTCACACTCAACATTATGACTCAACAGCTTCACTGTTGTTGTTTGCATGAACCCAGCTAGCTAGCTAACTGGCTAAAGTTACTTGTGACAAGCTAGCGTTAAACGTACGTTAACAACGGTAACTATGGTAACGACTGCCGGTTGGAAGTTTTACCTTTGCGACATGTCTCCAGCTTCAGAGTGAGAAACGTTCCCAGTTTCTCTTTTCAGATAAATTAACACAGCTACACACAGTTCAGTATTAACTGAACTTAGCTCAAGTTAGCTGAACTTAGCTCAAGTTAGCTCAACATGATGTCAGCTTCTCCAAGTTGATACGGCGCTCGGACCGTCTCCATAGTAACCGTGTTTCCGGAAGTTGCTCACGTAGTTGCATAATTTACAGTTTAATCAGTCGAATTAAAACTCACAGTGCAACAGTGACCGTTTTAATAAGTACACCAATCAACAAAGATAATATAATAATCATAAATGAATAAACTTTCAGGTTTTCCCAACCTACTGTTTTAAAATAAATAAATAAAAATAATGTATTTATTATTACGTGGCCTACAGCTTCTTGAACCACACCTTATTAACTTACACATTGAACATATTATATCAGGTGCAAAGCAGTGCACAACACACCACAAGAGAGCTGATAAAAAGAAGAAATAATAAATATCCCCAAAATACATAAATTATATGAAATGAGTAATACTGAAAAAAAAATAGACTGAATAAAAACTTCACTAAATAAGACAGCGCTCAATTGACTGGTTGAGCCTGCTGGTTTAATAAATAAATAAATACACATTTAGTAATTTATTTAAGCATTTAATTAAATAAGTATGTGTTTATATAATTATTTATGTATTTATATATTTAGTTTTGGCCCTTAAAACCCTCCATAGCCATACGCACTCCACCTGCTGCGCGTTCCCGCTGCAGGTGTGCAGCGCGCGCTCCCGTGCGATGCGCTGCTGATACATGACTTTGTACATGTGTAGTTTCGTTGGTTGTATATGAGCGCATGTGACTCAATCATTGAGGTCGAGTTTTACCTCTGCCAAAGAGGTTATGTTCCAGTTGTTTGTTGTTTACTTAGTTTGTCCGTAAGCAGAAACAACTGAACAAATTTCCACAAAACTTGATTGGAGATTATGGTATGGATCATTGAAGAACCCAATAATTTAGGTCTAGATTTGGATCTTTATTTTTCTTTAACACTGCGAGATAGCGTGTCTTAAAAATTTAGGTACAATAGTTTTCCAGGGAATAATTTATAGATTTTCATGAACCCAAAAATGTCATACCTTTCATTAGGTACTGAACAAAGGTTACAGTTGTGTAACAACTAGTGAGACAGAGAGAGAGGGAGAAGAGCGCGAGAGAGAGAGCACAAGCACATGAGCGCATGAACGTGATTAAAAACTTATTTCTTTTTCTTTGCATCTTTGTTTTTGCCCGGAGCTTTTTTGTCTGGAGCTTCTTCTTCTTCCTTTTCAGTGGCAGCTTGAATCCTCTTCTTTCCCAGAGGGGTCTTTGCATACCAGTTCTGGGAGGATAAACAAGCATGTTGACATTAAAATAAATTGAAAATCAAACAATCACAGTAATAAAAAAAAGTAATGTAAGAAATTGAATATGGCATATCCACTTTACTTTAAGGGCATCTTCCTCTTCCCGACGTACAGGGTCAAACTCGGCCATAGCGGGAATAAAATCTTTAGCAATCAGAGGTCCTCTTGCTATTCTGCGACGCTTGGCGAGAACGCTCTGGACCACCTGTACCATTTGACCTGGAGTGTAGCCATCAGAAATCGTTGTAAGAGCGCAGAGGTCCAATTCCTCAGTAAACCTGCCCCCCTGCTTTATGATCAGTTGTTTCCACAAGTCTGAAGGCAAACAGAGTCAGAAAGGTCATTTTTCACAGCAACGTGGTAAAGAATACCATAATGAAGATTTTCAACAGAAAAACTTTTTTTTGTTTTCTGTCAACTCTTACGGTATCTAGAGTTGTAGTCAGGTTTTGGGATGAGGAGGATTTTGCTGTACATATTACACAGTGACTTAATGTCAGCACTTGAAGGGTCTCGAGTTGTTCCAATTATCAGAACGCGATCTTCCCCTTTGATCGACTGAACGAACTTGGGCAGATCTTTCTTCAACCGCTGAGGGTCTAACTGTTCACACACAAATAAAACAAATGTGACTGAAATATAATGACACAACATAATGACAGCTCCCAGTGTTTATCCTGAGCAGGAGTACCTCTTTTTCTTCCTTGGGGACTTTCTTGTAGAACATTTTCTCTGCATCTCCAATCCATATTACAGAAGGTTGCAGCAGTCTTGCAACCTGAGGAAAGATGATTATAAAGAACAACATTTCACCTTTCTGTACAAATGTGAGTATAACATGAGAATATAAAGTCCTGTGAGACACATACATAGATTTTTTAATTGATACTGTTATCGCTCTGTGACATATTAAACTTTTTGAATGAAAATATACTGCCCTGTATATTGCATATCATAGTTAATGGTTTCATTTTTGGGCACTTGACTTATTAAGTCATAATATATGAGGTTTGGTATTATGCATATAGGTTGGCTAAAGTTTATTTTCATTAATTGGTTCATTTTAATTTATTTCATTCAAAGAACCTCATAGTATCATTACCAACTTTCTAAAATTGACTTTTCTTTTGACTTTATGGYGTCGTCTTACCTTAAAGACCATGTGCAGCATCATGGCGAGGCCACTCTTGCCTGGGTACTTTCCTGTTGTGTTCAGAGGTGACAGATCGAACAAGTTGGCACCTGTCTCGTTGCAGATGGCGTGGACCAGCATCTTCTTACCTACACCTGTCGGCCCTGTTAGTAGGAGGGCCTTTATGAGAGGAGCCTTTTCATGAATCACCTGAGAGCCTGCAAACAACACACATCTTATATCCAACCCACAAACAGTTGTTCAATTAAATTCATTCTAAATGTAAAGTGAAAAACTTCTACTCATACCTAATGGTAAAATTCCATATAAAGTTAAGACTTGTCGAACATCCGACAATGATGGCATGGGCTCGATGTCATATTGCCTCAGTGTTGTCCCGAGGTAGCTGTAGTCACCTGACAAAAGGAGGGAACAACTTTTGCACCAGAAGTGACAAATCTGCATCACTTGGAAAATGGYAAGAGAAACTTCAAAATCACATTTCTGACAACAAACATTATTGTGGTCATTACCTCCGCCAAGGAGATTTTTTTTTGATTGTTTTTGTTTGTATGTTTGTTTCTTGGTTAGTTAGCAGGATTACTCAAAACCTACTGGACAGTTTTCCACGAACACAGTGAAAAGATGCAATATCAGTCAAGAAAGAGCCCATTCCATTTTAGTCAGAGGGGGAGGAACGATGATTTTTCATTCGCTTTCTTTAACATTGCAAGATAGGATGTGTTGCATCTTGAATCTTGATGAAAAAAAAGAGAGATGTTCAGGGGATTGACATTTATGACTGTGTGCAATTTGGTGCAGATCCAGATAAATCCAGATCCATATCCAGATCTAGTGAATTTAAATGTGGTTTCATCAGGGGACTGGTGGGCCCCTCTAGTTTAAAAGCTCACTGGGATCATAGTGTTTATGCAATCATAAACCAGAAGAGGGCAGCACAACACTGTACAACTTCAAGATCCTGATAGAAATTTTCCCAACTCTGAGAGTTAACACATCAGTTCAAAATCTTACCTAAGTAATCCTGCAGCGCCACATTATTTGGCTTTTTCAACAAGCCCTGTTCCACAAGCTCCTGACACAGAGACTCAAGAGTCCTAGAAGAAGTAAATAAGTAATGCAGTTGTTTTCTCCAGTATTTGTATTGACTAATTTATTGACTCAGTATAACTCTATTCTCCACTGAAAATCATACACTCCATTATGTTAGGCTCTGTGTAAACTCACCTATCAGTKGTTAAATCTTTCTCCTTWKTCTTCTTCTTTCCACTCTTYGRTYCTTTCTTTTTCTGTCCAGTAAAAATATATTATAASGAAACAGCTTGAGGAAATCGATGTAAAYTGTRAACACAGTGTTTCACTTCAGTACCTTGGCMTTTCCTKTGGTCTTATATCCCATGTSTTTATCSACAGTCCGTTTCMATTCAGCCAACTCCTGTCTCAGCTCCACGTCCACCTGATACAAGCAGAGCAAGCCATTGAGTGCAACAAAAGGTGGCGCTATTATCACTTTTACACATTWGTGAYTGTGGCACTGAATTGGCCAAACAGTCAAATTCATCAGCCTGTAGCATCACAGTTTTAGCTTTGTGCTTTCAGTTCTGTTTTTAGCATCACCTGTATTCGAATCTCTGCCTCAATGACTGTCCTCACGTCTTCCTTGATCAGCTCCACCTCATGCCGCTGAWCAARGTTTCTGGACTCGTYGCGGTTTTKCCAAAAATCTGAGGATCACAAACATTTACTTCAGACTTTACCATGAATAACAATTATACCCTGAAAGATGTCAAAAGGCTAGAAAATGAAAACTACTTGTAAGTGTGTWGAATCCTAAATCCTCTCTTGCATGTTGCCATCTGAACAACATACTCCCAAACTGCTATGAACCACAGGATATCTTCACCTTCTTTATCTTAAACTTACCGTCATAGGTTTTGTTTCCCACTTGCAAGTCTGACAGAAAAGCYGAAGGTAGCATCTTCAACCCTGCCTCCTCTTCCTGTGGTTCAAATGTTTTATTGGCAAAGGAGTGAAACAGTCAACATAGTTTGAGTTAAATACATTAAATCCTATTTATTCTATATCTTCATCCATTTATCAGAATTTACTCAATGTAATATTATGTAAAAAAACATGTATTTAATAAAACTGTACTTCTATGTCGGTTTTCCCCTTCTTCTCCTCCTTCTTTTCATTTTTCTTCTTTTCTTCCTTCCCTTTTGTTGTTTTGTTGGAATCCTCCTCTTCCTTTGCAGCCATTTCTTCCCTTAACTTAGAAAATTAAACATACATGGAACTGCATTCCTCCTTCTGCAAACTACAGAAAAATTGTGATCTAAAACATACTTTAGACTGATGGTCTGTTTTACCTGCTGAGGAGTCTTCTGTACAAAAAGAATAGCTGAACCTCCATCCTCTACATCGGGGTAGTCTGGAAATGAGCCTGTAAGAGCGCTGGTTAACAAACACACACACAATGGGGGAAAACAGTGAGAACACATCTACTTTATGTCAATATATATTTAAATATTACACCATGAGAGTAAWAAATCATACCAACACTCTCTGTGTCAACTTACCGGCATTCATAGAACCACTGTCGAATTACCGCTTTCAAGCTACTGGCTATGAAATCACTCTCTGCAACTCGTAGTTGTTTTGTAACATCTACTATTGCCTTCTGGTAGTCTTCTTCACGCTCCTGCTGTGTAAGCCGATTTTCAGCTTGTATAGCTTTGATTTTGGCTTCTAAGGGGCCTCGCAACTGATATTTTGGACAAAAAATGACAAAAAAATACTGTATGATTGATAGATCTGTATTTATACCTGTGGTAGAGGGTGCAGAAAGAAGTTGAAAGGGGGCCACATTTTAGTTAAAGGTAGGGTTGGTAAGTTGTATAAAAAAATTCATTAGAGAATCAGTTTCAGTTGGACCTTAAGAAATTGTTTGCCAGTGTCACACCCTGCTCGTGCTCTAACTATACAGGAGTATCACAGCTGAACTAGAAACAATACTAAGAAGTTAGCGGGCAAGTCACAGAAAAGTTGGCTTGTAGGAGTTGTCAGTGCACTTTCATGTGTTTTGGGGGGAGTAGTAAAATATCACCTGGTCTTGCTAACTTTTCCAGGATTACCTACCCTAGCTCAAGGAGTTTTTGTGGGACAGTTTAGGAAAGTGGATGGCACATTACTCACCAGTCCTATCGAAATCATCTTTTCATACCAAGCAATCTTTGCCTTCTTCTCCTGTATGTAACTTCTCCACACCTACAAATCAAATTCAACCAAATCTTAGAATATGTAAAATGACACAGGGCAGAGATGGGGTAATCAGAGAGTCATTAATAACCTTCTGAATGCAGATTGCAGCCAAATCAATTTTAGCTGCTTCAGGGCCCTTGGTTATCCAGGCGATATATCTGCTCTCTTGATTCAGCTTTGCCCTCAGGCGTCCTTGGCGTGCCCTCTCTGCAACTTGAATGATCCTAATGGCCTCCGCTTGACTCATGTCCTCGACCATTAGAGTCTTCAGGGACAATAAAACAATGAGACAAATATAACAAATATTACTTAAATATCACAAACCGTGAATGAGAAATATATTTTTTATCAATTTGTTATCATTCACCTACACATRTAGGTATTATCTAAAATGTGGCTGCTTTTCAACTCACTTCTAGGCTTTTATTAACTTCCACCATTTTAAGGATATCTGTCACCATTGTCTTTCGTTCTTGGAGTTCTTTGCTGCATTCAGTGATGAAATAGCGAGGAATTGGGATTTCAAGGGCTGTCTAAAGTGACAACAAGGAAAGTGGCAGTTGAGTTATGAAGAGACATTGATGAAAAAGCTGATGTTTGGTGTGTATATGTCAGTGTAACTGCTGAGATCTCACAAATCCAATTCATTTTAATGTTT